TGCTGAACTGGTCGATCAGCTTCCTGGCGTGGACCTTCCACATGCCGCCGTGCCTTTCCACGGTGGCGTTCTGTTGCGGCGTAGCCGCGGCAGTAGTCATAAGGCGGCAGCCCATGTCCTCGAGTTCCTTCGAGAACTCCCTCTCGAACTCGCCTCCTCCATCGAAAAGTACCCGTTGTGGTGCCCCAAACGGTGTAATCCAAATCTGCAAAAGCCTCGCGAATACAACCGAAGGGTGTCTCGGAGAAACTGTACCACATAGGGTAAATCCAGAAGCGAGGTCGACCACAGTGAGGAAAATCAACTGGTTGCCGGCGTAGTCGGCAAGAATGAACAAATCCATTCCGATGGAGTCGTTGAAATCCCTATCTAGCTTGATTCTCCCAGGTAGGCGTGGTAGGGGTCGCTGGTGGGCGGCGCAGATTTCGCAGTACAGGTTGAGAGCCATCTCGACCGCTCTTTGGGATCCACCCGTCACTCGGATAGCCCGGGCCAGCGCGTCGTTGGCAGGGTGCCCCGTGTTGACGTGGAGCTGCAATATGGCGGACTTGAGCGTCCGCTCCTCCGCTGCCGTTAAGGCTGGCTCGGCAGGGGCTGCCGGGGCAGGCGCTGTCCTTCTCGCGGCTCTCCGTCTCGCTGGTTCCGCGGGGTTTGCCTCGCGGTGCTCGGTCTTGTTCGTCTTGCGAAGCTGCTTGACCAGCGCGGCGACGAGCTTGTCGGTGTAGTTCTCGCTGTCCTTGGCAAGCTTGCCGCGGGCCTCGACGTGCTTGTGTAGGCCGTCGCAGAGCTTGTGCAGCGAGTTGTCGATCCCGTAGTGGTCGGTGATGATCCTCCACGGCTTCTTGATCGCGTCCCCCTTCTTTGTCTGCAGGCCGTAGGCGCAGCCGTTGAAATCGATGATGCGCGGGAGCTGGTCCTTCAGCTTCTTCGCGGTGTAGTTCTTCTTCTGGTCCCAGCCGTCGCAGTAGCGCGGCCACTCGAAGGAGACCGCGAGCTGGCTGCCGAACTCCTTCCGCAGGCGGCTCATTGACTTCAGGAAAAGGTCGATCATCCTCGCGGAATGCTTCCGATCCTTCTCCAGCTTCTCGGCCTTGCCGGGGTCGATCTTCAGGATGATGCGCTGCAACGCGGTCCAGGGCGTGCATGGAAATGCGGGGTGGACCCGTGCGCTCTGGCCCTTCCGCAGGTTCTTCCGGATCCTGCCCTCGAGCTTCTCGACGATGGGCTTCCTAGAAAGGTCGTATCCAGGAAGACCGCAACGTACAGCAGGTCCTCCACTCTCGGTCCACTTCGCGCTGAGCTTGCTGTCGGGGTTGCAGCACCACTCGTAGAGGATAGTGGTGTTGCTCGAGATTTCGCTCGAGCTCGTAGTTGACTTGGCCAGGTCTGCCTTGAGCGCCTGGCTGACCGTGTGCGGCTGGACGCCGCCCTTGTTGGTGACGATGGCCGACCGCTTGCCGACGGTCAGCTGCAGCTTCGTCCCCTTCTTGAGCTGACGTACCTTCATCTGCTCTTCCTCCACGATGTTGACCTCCTTCGGCTCGATGTCGGTCTTGATGTCCAGCGTGGCCGAGTTGCCGAAAACACACTCGGAGCAGAACCCGAGGTGGCAACAGTCTGTGTAGGACTTGGTGCCGCAGGCCACGCAGTCGTCGAGGGACTCGGCGATGCAGGTAGTAGGCGAAATCGCTGTTGTAGCAAACTTCGGCGGCGCGACCGCCGTCGAACAGCAGACCAACGCAGAGCTCACGGCGGCCATGAGCTTTGGGCTGGCACCGCGTCGCTGTTGAAGTCGCCTCGGTACGTTGAGCTCCTTCTTGGGGATGAGCCTCGTGATGTTCTCGAGCAGGTTGCTCGCCTTCGTAGTGAGGTTGGCCGTGGGCTTCGGGGCTGGCTTCTTGGCGATGGCCTTGGTACCGACAGCCTTCGGTCCGAACTCGTGGCCCGCGCCCTTGATGGCGAGCCAGTCCTCCGGGTGGAGGTCGATCGCCGGATGTCCCGCGCTGCTCGTGATGAGCTTCTGGCTCGGGAGCGTGCCGCCGTTCCCGAACCTGTAGACTTCGTTCTCGGGCTCCTCCAGGATCTGGTCGGCCAGACCCATCTTGGTGAGCTTCTCCTTGTACTGCTTGTGCCAGCTGAGCCCGCCAACGCAGAACAGGCAGGCAGTGTCGATCACGCCGACGCCGTCGTCGTTGGGCTTCTCGCCGGCGTTGGTGGCGTTTACGGTGGGCAAGTCGGGCACCGCGCGCTCGGAGACCAGGGTCTCGGGTGGCGGAGTGACCAGACCTTCTGGATGAAGAATCACCTCCTCGTCGCCGAACTCCACGTGGTTCTGATCGTGGACCTGCTCGGTGATGTTGGCCCGGCGGTGCGAGCGACCTCCGCCGCCTCGTCCTCCGCCCTTCTGCTTGGCATTCGGGGCGAACTTCCGAGCGCCTGGTGTCGGGCACTCCTTGTCACTGGTCCAGTGCCCCGCCTCGCCGCAGTCCCAGCACTTGGAGTTCTTCTTGCGCTGGTCCACGCGGCCCTGTAGCTTGCCCGCGTGTCGGCGCTTGGGCGAAGCCTTCCCGCGGCCCTTGATGGCCTCCCGGGCCGACCGTATGGTCGCCATGGCTTCGGGAATCGCGGCGAGCTCCGCCGCGGCGGCCTCCACCTTGGCAGAGTCGCCCCTGCCGAACACCTCGCCGAGGTCGTAGTTGGACTGCTCCAGCTCGGCGCTGAAGGCCTCGAGCTCCTGGCGCGCGATGTCCTGGACGTCTGCCTCCGTGTCGTTGTCATCGCCGTCCTCCGAGTCCTCGTGCTTGTCCTCTGGCTCGTCGGCGACGTTGGCTGAACGCGCTCGGCTTGGCGATGGGCGCTGCCAACTACTGTTTGATCGCTGCGGCCACGGTCGTGACGGCGAGCTGGCATGCCGTTCCGATGTATGGATATCAGGAAACATGCGCACCAGCAGGCCCCTGATGCGCTGAAATGAGTAATGCTCGTTCGGCAAGTTGCCTACGACGCGCTCCCGGCGCTCGGCCGTGAGCCCAGCCTTGCGCAGCAGGAACCAGCCGGCCACGTCGTCAAGCGTAGTGAGGTCCACCTCGTTCTTGCGTAGTTGTTGTAGTCCCGCTTCGAATCGCACGAGCCAGTCCGTCATGCGTTCTCCACGGCGGCGATGATGCTGAGTCGACTCGAAAAACTTCTCTAGCGTCTCTCCCTTCTGTGCCGGCTTCTGCTGGCCTAGGTTTGTCTCGAGATGCTTCAGCACATGCTCGATGCCCTTCTGGTTCCGATCGCGCTTCTTCTCGTTTGCCTCCTCAATGTCGGCGTCCGGCGGCGGGTGGGGTTCCTGCTCCGTCATGTTGAGTGCAGCCGATCTGGCGGTGCCCGTCAACCTCAAGACTAACTTCGATGCCAAGCTTTGTGTCACTTCCAGGTTCTCGCTGAGCTTCCACAATTTAACAACTTCTTGCTTGTAATCTCGCCACTTCGCTGGATCTCCATTCCAGCTTGGTATCACTGACTGGTTATGATTGAACTCCGTCATTTTGTCTACGAATGAACTGTAAGGAATACCAAAATACGAAATGAAATTGAAATCAAGCTCGATGCCGTAATCGATGTCGGCGCCTGCCGTGTCGATAAGCTGGTAGGGGGTGTAGGCGTTGGGCTTGTCGCTGTCGCTGACAGCGCTGATGCTGAAGATGTCGGCGCTTGCCGATGTAGAAGATAGGCTGTAGGGGATCTCGGCGCTTGCCGATGTTGAGGGTAGGCTTCCGGTGAAGTCGCTGACGTCACTGGTGCTGTCGCAGACGGTGTTGAACTTGTAGAGGCAGGTGCTGGCGTCGCTGACGCTGTCGCTGAACTCGTAGGGGTAGGCGCTGGCGTCGCAGACGCTGGCGTGGGAGAAGGTGTTCGGGATGTCGGCGCTTGCCGAGGCAGAGAGCTGGCAGGGGATGTAGGCGTTGGGCTCTGCGCTGTCGCTGACGGCGCTGATCACGAACGTGAAGATGAACACTGCGCGGCGGCAGAGCTGGACGGCGCTGGCCGTCGATTCCGTGGGCAGACGAGTCGCAGACGTCGTCGTGGAATTTGAAAGGCCCAAAGGCCGGGGCAGCGAGCCTCGCTCCAAGCTACCGCTGTGATATGGAAGACCCGCAGGGTCGGATATCGCTGATATCGTTTTGTCGAATGATCGCGCGGCGAATCAATCTGCGTAGCTCTAAGGCCAAGGGCCCTAGTATAAATTTCGAACCGAAACAGGCAGCGGGACGAAGGGTGAGAGCAGCAAGAGCAGGGGCAGGAAAAGATCGGGGAGTGAGCGGAAATCACACTGGGCAGTCTTGGGACCCTCCGGGGCAGTCTTTGTCCTTCAGGGCGATCTTGGGGGCCTCTTGGGGCTTTTCTGGGGCGGTCTGGGGGCCCAGTTGGGCTGTCTTGGGGCCCTCTTGGGCCGCTTAGAGCCCCTCCAGGGGCCTTCTTGGAGCGTCTTGGGGCCGTCTTGGGCCCCTCTTGGGCCGTCCTGGGTTCGTCTTGGGGCCCTCTTGAGCGCCTATTGGTCCATTTTGGGGCAACCTCGGGGGCCTCTTCGGCCCTGGAGACCGAGCCGAGTTTGCGAAAATGGTGCCGCAACCTGATGGAAAACCATAGTTTTTGCCTCCGGGGGCCTCTAGGGAGTCGTCTTCGGGCCCCCTTGGGCCATCTGGGGGGCCCGTTGGGCCGTCGAGGGGCCATCTTGGGCCCATCTTGGGCCCATCGTGGCCGTCTTGGGGCGCTCGTCGGGCCCTCCTGAGGCCTCCTGGGGTCCTCGGGGGCCTTCTTGGGGCCATCTGGTGCCGTCTTGGGCCCTCCTGGGGCGCTCGGGAGCCAGTCTCCCCGGCCGCGCCCGAAGTTGTCCTGGAGCAGTTTCCCATGTCTATGAGTACTCACTGAATTCCTGCAGCTGCCCTCGCCTCGCCCTCGCCTCTCGGCTCTCCCTCGCCCTCACTGCCCTCGCCTCGCCCTCGCCCTCGCCCCCTCGCTTCGCCTATGAGTACCGTATTCCTGCAGCTGCCCTCGCCGCGCCCTCGCCTCTCGGCTCTCGGCTGCAGTGCCCCGCCGGCGGCCGACAACTACCAAATCTGGCGGTGCCTTGCGGCTCGTGGCCGCCGTGCCAGCGGGGGGAGGGGGGAGGTCGGCACCAGGCTGCGTCGCTGGATGGCCCTGAGACCTGGGCACTGTCTTTTCCGCGCCGGGCGTCTTCGCCCGGCCTCGGGCCCAGGGGCCCTCACAGATCGACGCGGCTCGAAAAGGGTTGGAGGAAGATGCGTGTTGCACTTTTGTCGCCGCGTTGGGTCTCGGGGGATGTCCACATCCACTGCCGAGAGGACGTGTCCCAGGGGCTCGAGACCCAGGCACGATTCCGAAGCAGTGGATATGCACATGTTCTGGCGGGGCACTTGTTGCGTCCGGGGAGAAAGGCTCTTGGCAAGTAGAAGCACAGGTGGGATCGGAATGGTATGGGGCGCAGCGGCCGATGGAGGAGAATGGAGCAGGGATGGGTCGAGGAGGATGGGGATGGGGATGGGGATGGGGATGGGGATGGGGATGGGGATGGCGATGATGATGATGATGATGATGATGATGATGATGATGATGATGATGATGATGATGATGATGATGATGATGATGATGATGATGATGATGATGATCATGATCATGTTAATGATGATGACGATGATGATGATGACAATTATGCTGCTACTGATGAGGATGCTGACGATGATGCTCATGCTGATGATGATGATGCTGGCGATGATGATGATGATGCTGATGATCATGATGGTGATGATGGTGATGATGATGCTGATGATGATGATGATAACGGTGATTATGATGATGCTCATGACGATGATTATGATGATGATGATGATAATGATGATAATCATGATGATGATGATGCTGACGATGACGCTGACGATGGAGGTGACGATTATGATGATGATGCTGCTGCTAATGATGATGTTGACGATGATGCTGATGATGATGATGATGGCGATGATGATGATAATGATGATGATGATGATGATGATGATGATGATGATGATGATGCTGACGATTATGATGATGCTGATGATGATGATGATGATGATGAGGATAGTGCTCATGAAGCTGCTGCTGCTGATGATGATGATGATGATGGTGGTGGTGGTGTTGGTGATGATGATGATGATGACGGTGATGCTGCTGATAATGATAATGATGGTGGTGATCATGATGATGATGATGGTAATGACGATGACGATGACGATGACGATGATGATGATGATGATGATGATGATGATGAGATGATGCTTATGGTGGTGGTGCTGATAGTGATGTTGATGATGATGCTGATGATGATGATGATGATGATAGTGACGATGCTGATGATGATGATGGTAATGATGATGACGGAAAGGATGATGATGATGATGATGATGATGATGAGGGTGATGATGATGATGATGATGAGGATGATGATAATTATGGGGATGATGATGATGATGATGATGATGATGATAATCATGATGATAATAATGATGATGATGCTGATCATGCTGATACTCATGATGATGATGATGATGATGACGATGATGGTGGTGGACATGATGATGATGACGATGGTGACGCTGATGATGATGATGATGATGATGATGATGACGATGACAATGATGATGATTATGATGATGATGATCATGTTAGTGATGATGACGATGATGATGATGACAATTATGCTGCTACTGATGAGGATGCTGACGATGATGCTCATTATGATGATGACTCATGATGATGATGATGATGATGGTGGTGGACATGTTGATGATGACGATGATGTCGATGATGATGATGATGATGATGATGACGATGACAATGATGATGATTATGATGATGATGATGATGATGATGATCATGTTAATGATGATGACGATGATGATGATGATGACACTTATGCTGCTACTGATGAGGATGCTGACGATGATGCTCATGATGATGATGCTGGCAATGATCATGATGATGCTGACGATCATGATGGTGATGATGGTGATGATGATGCTGATGATGATGATGATGGTGATGATAATGACGGTGATGATCATGATGCTCATGATGATGATGATGATGATGATGATAATCATGATGATGATGATGATGATGATGATGCTGACGATGACGCTGACGATGGAGGTGACGATTATGATGATGATGCTGCTGCTAATGATGATGTTGACGATGATGCTGATGATCATGATGATGATGATGGCGATGATGATGATGATGATGAAGATGATGATGATGATGCTGACGATGATGCTGATGATGATGATGATGATGATGATGGGGATGATGATGATAGTGCTCATGATGCTGCTGATGATGATGATGGTGGTGGTGGTGATGATGATGACGGTGATGCTGCTGATAATGATAATGATGGTGGTGATCATGATGATGATGATGGTAATGACGATGACGATGACGATGATGATGATGATGATGATGATGAGATGATGCTTATGTTGGTGGTGCTCATAGTGATGTTGATGATGATGCTGATGATGATAATGGTGACGATGCTGATGATGACTGTAATGATGATGCCGGTGATGATGATGATGATGATGATGATGAGAGTGATGATGATGATGATGATGATGATGATGATGGTGATGATGATGATGATGATGATTATGATGCTGATGATGCTGATACTCATGATGATGATGATGATGATGGTGGTGGTGGACATGATGATGATGACGACGATGATGATGATGATTATGATGATGATGATGATGATGATGATGATGACGATGACGATGACGATGATGATGATGATGATGATGATTGTAGTGATGATGGCGGTGATGATGATGATGATGATGATGATGATGAGGGTGATGATGATGATGATGATGATGATGGTGATGCTGATGATGATGATGATTATGATGATGCTGATGATGCTGATACTCATGATGATGATGACGATGATGATGATGATGATGGTGGTGGTGGTGGACATGATGATGATGATGACGATGATGATGATGACGATGACGATGACGATGATGATGATGATGATGATGATGATGATGATGATGATGATGATGATGATGATGATGATGATGATGATGATGATGATGATGATGATGATGATGATGATTATGATGATGATGATGATGATGATGATAATAATGATGATGCCGATGATGCTGCTGCTGATGATGATGAAGAATACTGAAACGAATACTCAGAAACATTATGCTACTGCTGCTGCTGCTGCTACTAGTGCTACTGTTACTGCTACTACTGCTACTCTTACTACTGCTGCTGCTACTAGTAGTAGTAGTAGTAGTAGTAGTAGTAGTAGTAGTAGTAGTAGTAGTAGTAGTAGTACTACTTCTTTTACAATGCTAATAACAATACTAATACTTGTACTACTTACTAAATTGCAAGCAACAGCAATACTACTAGTACTCATCATAATCATGACAACATTACTATCAATAAGAACAGTCGGATGAGGAGGAGGAGGAGGAGGAGGAGGAGCATGCGGAGGAAAATACGCCGTGGGCCCGACAGCTCCAGCAGCGTCCGGCGGGTATGCCTCCACTGCTGGTAACCTTCCCGCCAATGAAGATGGCTCCTGTCCGCGCCCTCGCCGTGCTCGCTGCCGCGGTCCCTGGGGGTCGTGGCGCGTGAGCGTGTAAGCGGTGGACTGAGCCAGATGCAGCTACACCTGGCACGAGGGTCGAGAAGATCCCCAGCCCCTACTCTGGATGGGGTATTTATCAAGAGCGGGGGTGATTAATCTCCCGACTGAGCTTGCCCAATCCCGCCCCCTCCGTCCTCCTGCCCCTCCTCATCCTCGTCCTCCTCCTCGAACCAGCCTTCCACCTGTGGCGACAGCACGTGCCCATCCGGCCAAGCGGATTCACGGGGTGGCGATGATTGTCTCATCCAGAGTAGCTTCGGAGGGGTACCTGCATTAAGCCACGCGCAGAGGGGGGTGGAGGGGAGGGGGGAGGGCTTCTTCGAAGCACCCCTGCTTCTTAGAAGGCCGTGGCGTCCTCTATAGATGTACGGCCGGCACCTCTATGAAGCAGCCTCCTTCTAAGAAGCCTCCCCCCCCTCCCCCCACCCCCTCGCGCGCGCCGCCAAATGCGTGTTCTGCCCTTCGTGTTCGGGCCTTCCACCCCTGGCGTGCTCTTCGTCCAGGGATCTTCTCCGTGGGGTGTGGGCCCCTTCGGCGAAGGGGCTCGTGCTCTTGGCCCACGCTCCTGTGGCCGTGCTCCGACCGTGCTCGAAGAAGAAGCATCGTCGGCATCAAGAGGACACCGCGGAGGCGCACGCGGATTTCTGGAATCGGCGGTGGACCCCATTTGGCGGCGCTCCCGTCGCCGTCCCGGGCGCGCTCCGCGCGCCAGGGAGGAGGGCTCCGGCGCCGATCAAAGAATCCGCGCGGACCTCTGAAAGGCTATTTCTGTACGGAGTCTCTGTGCTGCGGTTACCTGCGCGCTCCTCCGCCATGTGGCTTCCCTGGGCCGCCCCTGTCGGGTTCGGACGGGCATTTTCGTGGGCGCGATGTTCAGGGAAAGGATAGCCCGAACCCATGTCTTCGGTCATTTTTTTTTTTAACCGGCGGCGCGACACGCGAAGCCAAAGTTCCTTACCCTAGGCTTGTAGGCGGAATGGGTCGAGTTTGTGACGACGACATGGTGTCCGACGACGACGCCAGACAACCTGTTCCACGACGACGACAGGCAACGACAGGGGTAGGGTTTACAATGACGACAAAGGGCCAGCTTTTCTAGACGACCCACGGAGGACGACTGCCACGAGGATGAGGATGAGGCCGAAGCCGCCGGCGGACGATAACAGGCAGGGTGTGCTCTCGCAGGGCGCGCCCCTGCCCGAGATTCCGAGAAGGCGCAGGCTGCAGGCTGCAGCATGCAGGAGCTGGCGCAGGGGGCTGGTGCATCAGCAGCAGCGGGCCGAGGTATCCAGCGCCTCGAACAAGATCGGCAGCTCTTCGCCGTCTTGGGCCTCTGGTGGTCCTCGCTGGGCCCCGAGGACCGTCGCAGGAGATCGGGACGGCAGCTCTTTCGCCGTCTCCGGCCCGCAGGGGCCCCCGCGGGGTCCCGGGGCTGTCAAAAAAACGACCCAGGATGAGGAGCCCCCTCTGGGGGAAGTCGATTAATGGAGAGGAAGCGTGCTGCCAAGTAACGTCCAGATATCTAAAACATGATTCAAACATGTTTCAAATATGTAAAAACATGTTGGAAACGTTTTTATAACATGTTTTTACAGATTTTAAACACATTTTTCCCTACCTAGGCTCTGCCTAGAAGGGTTCTTACTCTCTTGGGCCGGGCAGTGGGAACCAGCCCGGGCGGTTCCCCCAGTATCCGCCCCGCGGTTCCCCCAGTTACGTCCCCTTAGCTTAGCGTTGCTTATCTCATCTTAGCTTAGCTTATTTCATCTTAGCCTAGCTTAGCTTCATCTTAGCTCAGGTTTACCTTAGCTTAGCTTACCTTCATCTTAGCTTCGCTGAGCTTCAGCATAGCAGAGCACATCATATCATAGCATAGCGTAGCATAGCATAGCGCATCATAGCATATCATAGCATAGCCCAGCATAGCATAGCATAGTGCAGCATAGCATAGCATAGCATAGCATAGCGCAGCACAGCACAGCACAGCATAGCACAGCGCAGCATAGCATAGCATAGCACAGCATAGCATAGCATAACATAGCATAGCATAGCATAGCATAGCGAATCATAGCATCGCATCGCATAGCACAGCGAAAGCAACAGCAAAGGAAAAAGCAAACGCGCGGTTCCCCCAGTTGCGCTCCCTGGGTGACAAGCAAAAGTAAAAGCAAAGGCAAAAGTGAAGGCAAAAGCGAAGGCAAAGCAAAAGCATAGCATAGCATAGCATAGCGCAGCATAGCATAGCGCAGCATAGCATAGCATAGCCTAGCCTAGCCTAGCCCAGCATAGCATTGCGCAGCACATAGCATAGCATAGCATAGCATAGCATATCATAGCATAGCATAGCATAGCATAGCATGTAGATGTATATGTAGGTGTAGATGTAGGTGTAGATGTAGATGTAGACGTGAGTCTTGCTGTTGATGTAGATGCAGATGTAGATGCAGGTGTAGATGTAGATGTAGCTATATGTGTAGATGTAGATGTAGGTCTAGATGTTGATGTAGGTGTCGATGTAGATGTAGGTGTATACATAGATGTAGATGTAAAGAACTCCCCAGTGCCCCGCCCTCATCTCCGTGCCTGCTTGCTTTTGCTGCTGTTTCGGCGACTTGCTGCCTGCTTCTGCTGCTGCTTCACTTACGGCGTGGCGTCGGCGGTTCTGGCGCTACTACTACTACTACTACTACTACTACTACTACTACTACTACTACTACTACTACTACTACTACTACTACTACTACTACTACTACTACTACTACTACTACTACTACTACTACTACTACTACTACTACTACTACTACTACTACTACTACTACTACTACTACTACTACTACTACTACTACTACTACCTACTACTACTACTACTACTACTACTACTACTACTACTACTACTACTACTACTACTACTACTACTACTACTACTACTACTACTACTACTACTACTACTACTACTACTACTACTACTACTACTACTACTACTACTACTACTACTACTACTACTACTACTACTACTACTACTACTACTACTACTACTACTACTACTACTACTACTACTACTACTACTACTACTACTACTACTACTACTACTACTACTACTACTACTACTACTACTACTACTACTACTACTACTACTACTACTACTACTACTACTACTACTACTACTACTACTACTACTACTACTACTACTACTACTACTACTACTACTACGGTACTTCTACTACTACTACTACTACTACTACTAGTACCATCTACTACCTACTACCTGCTACCTACTACCTACTACCTACTAGTTCCTACTACTAGTACTACTACTACTACTATACTACTACTACTACTACTACTACTACTACTACTACTACTACTACTACTACTACTACTACTACTACTACTACTACTACTACTACTACTACTACTACTACTACTACCACTACTACTACTACTACTACTACTACTACTACTACTACTACTACTACTACTACTACTACTACTACTACTAGTACTGCTAGTACTGCGAGTACTGCTACTACCGCTACTGCTACAACTACGACGATGAGGAGAAGGAGGAGGACGGCGTTTACCGCTCCTACTAATGTTGCTTTCCTAGAGGCTCCAACTCCTAGGTAGGGTCGCACCGGGATAATTAGTTCAATGATCGGATTGCTAGACTGTCCACTGTCATGGCATCCACAACCCTGGGAAAAAGGGCCGGGACTTTGGGGGATCCCATGTTGATCAAACCAATCGGGTGGTGCCAGAGGTGTCCCTGATTTGAGAGGTGCCCCTCGGATTTCCACGGAGGCCCCCACGGCCTCCAGAGCACCCCTCAAGAAGCCCAGATGACCCCCGCGTCGGGGAAACGTGAGACTCGAGTTTGGCGGGATTCGGATCTGCCGCCGCTTTCTGACAGTCTCGGCGGGAACTTTGCAGCAGAAGCTCGCGTCAACTTGCAGTTCCTTTCCCGATCCTTTCTTGTCGGACCGCCGATTTGCAGAAGTCTCCGTGACTCAAGCCCCGAGGCTACCATTAAGTCGGGCCTGTCCCTCTACATGGGGAATGATCAACAATAGTCAAACAATAGTCTGGGGAGTATTTTTTGAGTATTTTTGGGCTCTCGAATATTTTTGGGAGTATTTTCAATTTTTCGTCTAAAATCCCCCTGTTGGGGGACAGGCCCGACCTAATGCTACCAGAGATTTGGATACGTAGCACCGAGCATGGCCCCGTGGCGGCCAGGGGTTCAGGGGCTTCGGGTATCTCCCAGTGGACTCCAGGGGCCTCCGAGCGGCAGACAGAGGGTTTTGTCGCCACAGCTGAATTGGGCTGTAACAAGCGCTGGCCAGAGTGACGTCCCATTTGGGTGTGTCACAGGCCCAGGGCGAACAAGCAACATGGTCGCGCATGGGCCTGAGTTCACGATATCTAAAGTGTGTCCAGGCAGGGTGTAAGTAACATGGTCGGCAGTATCGTTGACAATAAGCTTGTCTACCACATCTGACACACCCTGTTTTCCTCCTTTGCTCGAGCGTAGGTTGACGAGACAGGTGATCTTTGTCTGTGACCATGGTTGGGGCTAGAGACCAGGCCTGTCCTCATGCTGGGGCACGTCAGAGTCCCCGATGGATCGTCTTGCCGACTCCTGCGTGGTCCGCCCGCTCTCTCAAGCGAGCTGGAAAGGGCGAGGGGAAGGTCATCTCGGCGCTACCTGCGCGTGGAGATTCTGCGCAGGCGCCGCATGCCGCTGCCTCTCCCGCCATCCAACCTCGGCAGCAGTGCAGTCAAGATGCTGAGACGGGGGCGACATTGGACTCAGGAGGGGCTGTGGTTTCCGGGTCGTTTCTCATATCCAGGCCAGGGAACCTTACTCAATTGCACGCCCCTGAGGGGGCAGGCATCGCCGTCCACCTGTTTTTGGAGCGCTGTTCTGCACGAACGAAATGGGCACGGAAAGAATGGGTACAATGCCCAACAGTGGATCTTGTTCATTTTGAACAGGACTCGCTGTCCACGCCGCCGCGGCCTGTGTCCATTCGAGACAGAAGGCCGCCCTCCCAACAGCGGCCGCTGTTGGTTTGGGACAACATTTGTTGTTGGGCATTGTACCCATCCTTTCCGTACCCATTTCGGGCGTTCAAAGCTGTCGTTTCGATGCAGATGTGGGAAGACGTGCACCCCGCGACCAAACACTCGGCGAGGCGCGCTGTGGAGAGAAGTGTGGCCACGTGCGCAGCACTGGGACACGGAAGAGAAAACCGTCCGAGAAGGCGCGAGCAGTCACTGAGACCTCGATCTTGGAGACCGAGGAGGGCCCTCCTCCTCCTCCTCCTCCTCCTCCTCCTCCTCCTCCTCCCTCCCTCCCTCCCTCCCTCCCTCCCTCCCTCCCTCCCTCCCTCCCTCCCTCCCTCCCTCCCTCCCTCCCTCCCTCCCTCCCCCTCCCCCCTCCTCCCTCCTCCCTCCTCTCCTCCTCTCCTCCTCCTCCTCCTCCTCCTCCTCCTCCTCCTCCTCCTCCCCGACCAGCCGCCAGGATGGCCGCAGAGAGGCTAGCAACCGTCGGGCTCGGCCCAGAAATCGAGCCTGGGAGCCCATAGAGTGGCCCAAAAAGGGACCAGAAAAGGGGGAGTGCGGCGGAGTGGGGTGATCGAGGGAAATGGGAGGGGGACGAAAACACTCCCTGGACGACCGAAAAAGCTGCTCAGAAGGCGCCCAGAGAGCTCGATGGGGGGGCTCGAGGTGCAGTCAGGACGGCCGCAGAGAGTATCCGCAGAGCCTAAGCTGGACGGGGGGGTGCACGGGAGCTCCCAGAGAGGCGCAAGGAGAAGTCCGAGACGGCTGGAGTCATCGAAATCATGTGTTGGTTACGAGTTTTTGTGCTCATCTGGTCTTGCAGACGTGTTGAACACAGAGCTGGAGTGACATCCACAAGGGCCCAAAGTGGCTGTAACGACCAGCAAAATGAGCCCCAGAGGGCTCCGAGAGGCCTCCCGAACCGGCTTGGGAGGCTCTCGGAGAGGTTTCTGAGAGGACCCGGCAGGCGTTCAGAAACGTAGCACTTGAAGCGAGGGTCGCTTTGGAACGGCCATGGTGGCCAGAGGGCGCCCTGGCAGCGCCCAAGGCCCACGGCCAGCCCAATGAGCGGTCCCTGAGGAGGACCCCAGGAGGGGTTCGGAGAGGCTCAGAGGCAAGGATAGGGATGACAAGTGCGCTGGCGAGAAGGCTCACGCGAAACAGCCCCTTTCAGATCATTCGGTGGTGGTCTCGCTCGCCGTACCCGGTGGGGCGGCGGCTCGCTTCGCTCATTCCGCCGGCCCAGACTGCATCATTGGCCCAGACTGCATCATTGTCGCTCAGTTGGCGTGTTCATGGAAAGCGATGGGGAGGAGGAGGAGGGGGAGGAGGATGAGGAGGGGGAGGACGAGGAGGACCAGTGTAAACCCAAGAGTCATGCTGGAATAAACCCTCCCTCCAAGCTCCCTCATAGGCCCCTACAACGGTTCTATTCCACTGAGGGAACTAATTTGCCTCGTTGGAAGACAACCGTTCGAAGACCCTCAAGCATGCCAAAATTTTGTTCTCGGGATTCCAACGCCACGGATCAACATTATTATTGCGTTTTGACGATCCTGAACCGTGCCAGAACTCGATTCCTTGGATTTCAGCACCGCGAATCAACGTAATTGCTGCACCCTCCTGATCCTGAATGCTTCCGAAATGCCATTTCTGGTACGTTCGTTGACCTTGGGAATCAGTGAAGCTCTTGCATATCTTAAGAACGAATATGCGCGAAGCTACGGCGAGAGCCACTAATTGACAAGGATCCGCCCTAAATCAGTGACGTTCTTGCATGTTTTGAGAACGAATGTACGCGGCGCTAAGGCGAGAGCCACATTTTGAAAAGGGACCGCCCTCAATCCGTGAAGCTCTTGCAATTTCTTGAAATGACAGGCGAGAACCGAAGACCACCCGCCCTCACCCCGTGAAACTCTTGCAACTTTTTAGAACGAATGTGCGCGGCGCTACGGCGAGAACCACATTTTGAAAACCACCCGCCCTCACTCCGTGAAACCGTTGCAACTGTTCATAACGAATGTGCGCGGCGCTGCGGCGAGAGCCACAGGTTGAAAAGGGACCGCCCTCAATCCGTGAAACTCTTGCAGATTTGAATCGCGAATGTGCGCGGCGCTAGGGCGAGAGCCACGTGTTGAAAACGACGCGCCCTCCATCTGTGAAGCTGTTGCGAAGTATTGAGGCTTCAGGGCCGTGTATGGCGAGGGAGTCTCGGGCGAAACGCCCAGGCCGCGCTAAAAACAAAACTGGCCTCGGGGTGCGACATGGAGAAGTCATGCATAAGGAAATCGGAATAGAGGAGGAGGAGGAGGAGGAGGAGGAGGAGGAGGAGGAGGAGGAGGAGGAGGAGGAGGAGGAGGAGGAGGAGGAGGAGGAGGAGGAGGAGGAGGAGGAGGAGGAGGAGGAGGAGGAGGAGGAGGAGGAGGAGGAGGAGGAGGAGGAGGAGGAGGAGGAGGGAGGAGGAGGTGGTGGAGGAGGAGGGGGAGGAGAGGAGGAGACGAAGAGGAGGAGGAGGAGGAGAGGAGGAGGAGGAGGAGGAGGAGGAGGAGGAGGAGGAGGAGGAGGAGAAGGAGGAGGAGGAGGAGGAGGAGGAAGATGAGAGGAAGAGGAGGAGGAGGAGGAGGAGGATGAGGAGGAGGAGGAGGAGGAGGAGGAGGAGGAGGATGAGGAGGAGGAGGGGGAGGAGGAGGAGGAGGAGGAGGAGGAGGAGGAGGAGGAGGAGGAGGAGGAAGAATAAGAAGAAGAAGAAGAAGAAAAAGAGCAAGAGGAGGAGCAGGAAGACGATCGCAGGACGCGCCGTGTCTTGGAAAGCCCCCTTCGTTCCTGCGCTCCTCAAGTGCAGCACGCGATGCCCGATTTTTCGCTCGGTCTGCGGCCGCTGCTGCCCCGGACTCTGCTGTGTAGGGTGGCATCTGCTTCCCCGCGGCGCTCCCAGTCTAGGGGAAGAAAAAGTGACATAAACATAAAAATTCGGAGGTCCGCGCGGATCTCTCGGATCGGCGCTGGACCCCCTTCCCTGGCGCGCGGAGCGCGCCAGGGGCGGCGCTGGAGGCGCCGCCGGGGGGCCCCAGCGCCGATCCGAGAAATCCGCGCGGACCTCCGAGTTTTTATGTTTATGTCACTTTTTCTTCCCCTGCAGTGGGTGCTTGTGGCCCTCGGGGGACTGCACACCTCGGTGCGCATGCGACCGCCCGTCCGTGCGCCTGCGGCGCTGCGCGGGTGGGCGGGGGCCTTTTCGGCCGCCGAGCCGTCCCCCGTGGAATCCGCGCGGCGGCGCGGGCACCGCGGGCGCTGCCGGCTGCGCGGAGGAGTGACCCCTCGCCGGGGTGGAGGAGGAGGAGGAGGAGGAGGAGGAGGAGGAGGAGGAGGAGGAGGATGAGGAGGAGGAGGAGGAGGAGGAGGAGGAGGAGGAGGAGGAGGAGGAGATCTTGGGGGCACTCCAGCACGCGGCTGCGCGCTCGGCGGTGCCCCCCCCCCCCCCCTGCACGGCGTGCGGAAGCGAGCCGCTCCCCCTGGACCCGCGCGGCGGCGCGGGAGCGAGTGGGCTGCCGGCTGCACGCAGCAGTGACCCTTCGCCGGAGGGGCGCCCCCAGCACGGGGCGGCGCGCTTGGAGTTTCGGTGTGATCGAAATGGGTACGGAAAGAATGGCGACGAAGGGGGACAGCAGTTCCTGTCCATTCTGGATCGGATTTGTCGGCGTAGCCGCGGACGTGGTCAGTTTCAGACAGAGAGTCGCCTGCCAAACAGCGGCCGCTGTCGGTGTATCTGCGACCTCTTGCGGACCCTACCCCTGCGGGTCCACTTGACGCCGCGGTATCGGACACCCCCGCTGGGGTTCACGTGACTGCGGACGTCCCTCGAGTTGTGCACCCCAGCCAGCGTTTCAGAACTCTGACCTGCCGGGTCAGGGTTCACATCTTCTTGCTTGCTGTGGTGCGGGCCCGCGGGGCCCTCCCCACACGGGGCTGCGCGCTCGGAGTGGGGGCCCGATCGCCCGCCCCGCCCAGGACCCTGCAGACTCGCCGTCGAGGGCCTAT